AACGCATGGCACGAAACAGCTCCCTTCTTTTTTAAAATATTATTTACTATTTTTATTTTATGTGTATGCATGTATTGCCTGTATGTAGGTAAGTGCACCTCTGTCCTGCAATGCCCGTAGAGGTCAGAAGAGGCTGTCAGATCCCCTGGAACCGGAGTTACAGACAGTTGTTAGCTGCCATGTGGGTGCTGGGATTTGAACCTGGGTCTTCTGCGAGAACAACCAGTGTTCTTAACCGCTGAGCCATCTCTCCAGCCCCAGGGAGGAAAGAATTTAAGAGTTCAAAGGAAGCCAGGTATAACGGTGCCACACTCTGTACACTCACATTCCCAGCACTCATGAGGCTGAGGCAAAAGGATTCACAAGTTCAAGTCCCAGGACAACTGTGGTGGCGCACACCTTTAATTCCAGCACTTGGGAGGCTGAGATAGGCAGATCTCTGTGAGCACCAAGCCAGCTGGGGCTACAAGGAGACCCTGTCTCAAAAAATCAAGACAAAACAAAAAAACAAGTTCAAGGTCAACCTGGGTTATGTAGTAAATCTCTGTCTCAAAACACTGAAGGAAAATAAAGAGTTAAAAATTACCCAGGCGGGCTGGAGAGATGGCTCAACGGTTAAGAGCACTGACTGCTCTTTCAGAGGACCCGTGTTCGATTCCCAGCACCCACATGGCGGCTATGAACCATCCTTAATGCCATGTCCACGGAAATCCGAAGCCCTCTTCTGACCTCTGCAGCACTGCATGACACAGGTGCATTCACATACATGCAGGCAATACACTCATATACATAAAATAAAAATAATAAAATAAAATATTAAAAAAAAAAAAATTACCCAGGCTATCTTCAATGATGGCTATTTGCTGATGACCCAGGTCACTTACACAGGTGAAAGAACAAGTGGAAGTCTGCCTAAGTGCCTGGTTTCTCAACGACCAGCGACCTGCACAAACTGCACAGAGCACATGTCACTTTGGATGAATTAGTGCCATTCCTGCTTGGTCCATGTCCTCCCTGTCTAATCTGTGTTGGCGGTTCCTAAGCCACCAGAGGTTGGAAACCACTGTACTAAATAGTAGGTTGCCTGTCCTGCTGAGCTCCTGCTTCCAAGTGGGTTGCCACTCAACTGCCCAGACTCTGAGCGTGGCTTCAAAAAGTTGAGCATTAAGGCTACAAGTCAGAAAAACTATCCCTTACTGGCTTCAGGCAGGTGAACAGTTTGTGGTCGGCAGACTCAATATCAAAGTCAGGTTAGTGTCTTGAGCTAACCACAACAGATGAAAAGGCACTGGTTCAGCTTGTTCAGGTTTACCATCTGCCCGCACCGAGGAGCCTGGATGTATCCACAGAGCATCCCACCTGAAGTGGAACTTCCGATGCTGCAGAGTTTGAGAGAAACATCTTAAAGGAACTACAGGTGACTCCAGGCTGTTTCTGTAGAAAGCCACCATTTTGCCCTTTAAAGGAAAGAGTATACGAGTGGGGACAGCCTCTGAGATCACTAGCCCTGGGCAGACTTTTGACAGCTACGTTAGCGCAGAGAGTAGATGTCAAACTGCATATCACGATCAGCAAACCAGCAGACAGGGCTAACATTCTTTTTCTTTTGTTTTGGATTTTTTGAGACAGGGCTCCCTGAAGCCCCAGCTGGCCTGGATCTCACAGCGATCCACCGGCTTTTGCCTCCCCAGTACTGGGATTAAAGGTGTGTGCCACCACACCTGGAACTAACATTCTATTTAACTGCTAAGTCTAATAGATAGCTCTCAGCCTTTGAATTTTCCAAGATTTCTGTGGCGCATGATAATGCTCTTTGTCCATGAAACTCCAATTACCAGTTCTGATCTTCTGTGATTCTCCACCTTCCCTAAGATCCTCTTCCTTAAACCTGGGTTCTGTCTTCAACAATCTCTTCTTGGTCCCCAGCTTTCCACAAGCAATGCACCCTCCAAGATTTTAAGAACCTCAGTGCTCACTCTGACCCCATCTGCACTGCAGTTCATCTCTTTCTTCCAACCCCAGATTTTTCCCAATGCCTATAAAACAGCCCAAGTCTGAAAATGAAACATTCACCTCCCTGTCCCTGTACATTGTCCATTTCAGGAAAAGAATGACCAGTGCATACTCTGTCACATAGCAAGAAACCTAGACGTTACATCTCCATCACCCCATATTTGATCCAAAAGAAATAAAAGACTAAGCCTTGAAAAAGTATTCCTCTGTGGTTTTACTCTAGCCTAGGCTGGCCCCAATCCTCCTGCCTGCCTTTCTCCAAACTTCTGTGATGACAGGCATGAGCCACCATAACTAACTGGCAACCCAAGCCTTCAAAGTATCACCTACCTACTAAATACTGACCCTCCAGGCCTGTTCTTGATCCCGCTGTCATTTCACTAATCTGCCTCTTAGCTCGCCACAGAAATGCTGTCATCCTCTTTTCCTTCATCTACTTCATGTCCTCCAAGCCATTACCTGTTGTGTGTGTAAATCTATAACTCTATGTTAATCATGTCTCTTCTTTGCCCACTTAAATCCCTGAAAGTCCCTCTTCCCCTGCGCAGTACCTACAAGATAAAATCCAAACTCCTTCAAGACCAGAATTAAAGCCCTGTCAGCCTGTCACCCTGCCGCTGCCTCTCTAAGCTCATCTCTTGGCCTGGCCTGCACAGAACACCACTTCCAGAGGATACACTGCTTCCTTCATGTCTCTGCTCTTCAGCATGCTGTTCTCTGCCCTCCCTCATCTGTCTGGGACACCCACGTGCAGAGACACTGCTCTGAATCACACCTCCACGTCATTTGGCCAAATCTTTGAAATGAATCATTGTTGTGGGGCTGGGACTCAAACCCAGGGCCTTGTACACAAGACTCAAATGCACATGTACTGCATTTCCTTATCAAATCTTCTCAGGCCATGAACAACTTGAGAGAATGTCTTCTATCTTTGCCATTTTTTCTATTCTGAGCCCCGCCCAAAACATTTGAGCTGCACTTGGGGGCTCAGAATGTACAATTTGGAAAAGAGGTGAAAAGAAAAAGATGTTAAGTAACTTAAGAAATGGAGGAGCTGAGGGCAGAGCAAGAACTTGCACCTAACTCAGAACGAGCGCACTGCTCTTTCCTTGCTGTCTCTCCCGGGCAGAAATGGCTCAGTCTCTCCATGACATTCACTGGATTCAACTCCAAGAGTTCTTGTTTGGCACCTGGGTAACTTCTTAATGCAGCACTTGATGGGATATAAAATATGTACTCCTCACAAGTGTGCATACTTTCTTGAGTCCTTACAGCTTCCCTTAGCAACTAATCTGTGTCAAGTAAGTAGTGTTGCCAATTCAACAAATACTTCAGACAATTTCATACAGACAGCAGCATGCCAGAGAATGTCTCCCTAACCCTAAGCTCGCTCTAGTAGGCAGGCATGCCCCCCACCCCCAGTTCCTTCTACTGGGTGAGTGGGAGGAGAGAGGGACAGGAGAGAGCCCTAGGGGACATCTGCATCTCTGTGACAGTGGAGAGCAACTCTCCAGTGTTCAGAGTGGCAGTTTCTGGACGGCATGTCTGTGTCCCTCTGATGCACATGCTGAGGCTCTCACCTGCAATGCGATGGTGTCTGGAGGGTGCCAAAAAGAGACTTGTGTCCTCAAGAAGAGGAAAGAGTGCGCCTCTCTACCCACTGTCAAGACACCAAAAAAGATGGTGGCGTCACCAGGAATCAAACCTGCCACACCCCGATCCTGGCCTTTACAGCCTCTAGAACTGCTGAGAAATGCTGCTCTTCAAACACCAAGGTAGGTGAGCCGCTACCAAAATCTGAGCAGAGTCACGGGAGGAGGAGAGTCTGGATGAGTGTAGTAGCCTGTCCTATGACTGCAAAGTCAGAAAAGGCTTCACTAGTACCCCAGGCAGCAGAAGCCCAGTAGGCCACAGACTGAAAGGATATCTGTCAAAGACATTCACGTGCTAACCTCACCTGACCTCACCTGGCACTAACTGCTTTACTGTCAGACAGAAAAGAAACAAAGTTCGTTCTGTTCCAACTGGCCAGAGGCTTGCACCCTGGCAGCGCGACGGGATCACCTGGAAGTTCCGTCAGGTCAGAAGTTCCATCAGCTGGAAGAGCTGCTCCTTGCTTTACCATGGACTTCTGCTAACTCATCTGAGCTGAAAACACTGTACGCTAAACTGCATTTAACTTATTTCAATTTACAGGGCATCACTATGCCCAGCCTACCTTAAAAGTGCTCATATTTACTTCCGTCTATTTGAGCAGTCCACCCATTTGCTGAAATCTGTACTGAGTGAGAACAGGAGCTGACACATTACGCTGGCACGTCTGTAAGCTGAAATGCTTGGATGCTGAGCCAGGTCTCCCTGCATTGAGGCCTGGCCTCACTTCCAGACTTGAGTCAACTGGCTTGGATGTAAGGGTGCAGTGACTTGACACTGATGAGGGGAGGGTTTTTAACACTTATTTTATGTGTATGAATGTTTTGCCTACATGCATGTAAGTGCAACTGTGTCATGCAATGCCCACAGAAGCCAGAAGCCAGCATTGGATCCCCTGAAATGGACAGCTGTTACCTGCTGTGTGGGTGCTGGGAATTCCTCTGCAGGAGCAGCCAGTACTCTTACCTGCTGAGCCATGTCTCCAGCCCCTTATTGCAGTTTTTAAAAAGTTCCCAAAGTGCTTCTAGTTTGCAGAATCATTACAACTTCAGTTAAACTTTTTTTTTTTTCGGTCTTTTTGAGACAGGGTCTCCCTGTAACCTCAGCTGCCCTGGAACTCACTGTGTAGACCAGGCTGTCCTTGAACTCACAGAGATCCGCCTGCCTCTGCCTCCCAAGTGCTGGGATTAAAGGCATGCGCCACCACGCCCGGCTCCAGTTAAACTATTTTAAAAAGGTAAAAAAGAAAATTTTCACCCAGGCAGAGTGGATTTCAGGCGTAAATGTGCCCTGGTGCAGCCACACACAGACCTTAAGAGCTGCCCTGGACGAGTTCATCTACCACTCACAGGAGGGTTAGGGTTAGGGTTAGCGAGGTTAACTTAGTGAGCTTACACAGTCAACATGCCTGAGATAGCTTAAAAAATAACAATAAACCACGCCCTCAAGATAAAAACTCAACAAAACAAAGGCCACTTGCCATGTAGGAAACAGGGGCGTATTTCCGGCTGAGGGATTCCACCTCCTGTAAGACGTGACTGTACACCGACAGCATTCTTCTCTCAAACTCACTATCAGCCTGGGCTGCTCCAGTGGGTCCATATTCCTGGAAACTGAAGGACCAGCATCAGTTACTCAACCAGCAGGCCAGAACAGTAGAATCTTACATATGATTCTTCTCCAATGTATGTCTTTAAAGTATGACATGTTGCTGGGCCTGGTGGTACATGCCAGCAATCTTAGCACTAAGAAGACCAGGAAGTAACCGTCAATGCTTAAATGTGATGCCAGGCATATTCCATGTTCTCAATTTTTAAAACAATAAAATTATTTCCAGCTGGGCATGGTCGCTCACTCTTTTAATCCCAGCAACTGGGAGGCAGAGACAGACAGATCTCTGTGAGTTCCAGGCCAGCAGGGAGACCCTGTCTCAAAAAGACCCACCCCCCAAAAACCCCAAACCAAATCAACAAAAAACCCCAACAAAAAACAACAAAGTTATTTCCAATTACAGATAAGGAAATTGAGGCTTAGAGAGGTTAATTTGTCTATACTCACATAACTATTACGTAACATACTAGAATTTAAACCTAAATCTGACTACAAATGATCTAATTCTTAACCACTCTGGTTGTCAGACAGTATGAAGGTGTTTAAACCTGTAAGAACCACAAAGTGGAAGAGACAAAAGCCATTTGAGAAGATGTCGATCTGTCCATCAATAAAGCCAGCAGGCAACTGCCAAAAACCAGTGACAGCCCCCAACACACCAGAAAGAACAGAGGCAGAGCCCAGGAGTGTCACAGAACAGCACGGCCTTAAGTCACCAGGTAAGCAAGCAGGTAAGACTTGGAGAAGACAGAGCCATTTACAGCTCAGGAAGTGGAGGAGCACCGAGCTCAGCAGTGAACCCAGGAATATGCAGGGGCTGCTGGCACACAGCACGCTGCAGAAAGGTGAACTTAAATTCCTTTCTTCTTCCCCCACCATCTCAGATTTCTGAACACACTTCTGACAGATAAGAGAGTAAAACTCTCGACTCCTACATGAACTTTAAGAGTAATATGTGGAAGTGCAATGTGGGTCATTTAACGATGCTGGGCATTCACTACTTATTACCCCTTTAAATCCTTCTAGTGTCTACTTTTATGCACGATACTTTAGCTAGGTGCTATTATAAGCTATTTCGGCTTCCCAGAGTAGGTGCTGTTCTCTACCTAGTTTATGCACACGTGGCTTAGTGAGGCAAAGAGACTCAGCAGTGCACAGGATTCCTGGTCAGAGCTGCCAGGGCTGGACTAACTTTTAAGTTCCATTAACACAAGAAATGAGGGGGCTGGGGGACCTGGCACCCACCTGGTGACTGACAAAAACTGTCCATAACCCCAGTTCCAGGACGGGCATTGCAGGCAAAACGCTCATCACACACAATTCAAAAAAACTTTCAGAAGACAAGAAATGAGAAAGTTAAAATGGATCAGATACGAGGAAAAAGCAGTCTCGCAGCCAGACTGAGGGGCCAGCCTTCAAATGGAAGGTAAAGACCCCGGCAGCCCTGGAATGAAACGGCAGCTCAACGCTTTACAGCAGAAACAGAGCTGCTCTGTTGGCACAGCCGCCAATGAAGCAGCCTCAGGAGTCAGGCCTTCCTGGCCCTGAACTGCACGTTCCATTAGATACGCTACTGGGGAAAACACAGTGCACCACTCTCACAAAAACAATTAGTCTGAATAATTCGTTATTGGGAGAAGGAAAGACAATTTTGTTTTTTTGTTGTTGTTTTTTTTTTTGCATTGCTTTGAGATACGGTCTCCTTGTAGCCTCAGGTGGCCTGGAATTCACTGTGTAGACCAGGCTAGCCTCAAACTCACAAAGCTCCACCTGCCCCTGCCTCCCAAGTGCTGGGATTAAAAGTGTGCACTGCCACCATGCCCGGAAGGAAAGAGAACTTTTCTTTTGGTCTTTTTGAGACAGGGTCTCCCTGCAACCCCACCTGGCCTGGCACTCTCACAGAAACTTGCTTCTGCCTCCTAGTGCCAGGACTAAAAGGCATGTGCCACCATGCCTGATAGGAAAGAGAATTTTAATAAAGAAAAATAAGGAATTATCTTTTGGTTTGGGAACCCAAAGAATTAAAATTTTAAGTTCAAGTTATTAACTCATAATTGTTCCTAACAAAGTTTAGTTATACAAGATACTGTTTGATTCAAATAGCCCCTCCCCTCTCAGTTATCCTTCTACACTAACATAAAAGCAGGAGGCAGGTTACTGGAGAGATGGCTCAGTGTTAAGAGCACTGGCTGCTCTTGCAGAGGACCAGCGTTTGGTTCCCAACACCCACATGGTGGCTAACAACAGTCCATAACTCCAGTTCCAGGGGATCCAATGCCCTCTTCTGATCTCCAAGGTCACTGCACAACACGGGTGCACTTACACACATGCAGGTAACTCTCTCTCTCTCTTTCTCTCTCTCTCTCTCTCTCTCTCTCTCTCTCTCTCTCTCTCTCTCTCTCTGGAGGCAGGATGATCTAGGAGGTTCTTTTACATCTTTTGGAGTCATAAAATCTACATTTCCCTATCGCTAGTCAAGGACTGTGGGCAAATGCTGGAAGAGGTCCCCTTCTTGTCTTTTCTTCTATATTTTCTTTGCAAAACACTGTTGCGATGACTAGTAAAATAACACATCTGAAAGTCTGATAATACAAACTGCTATTAAACTCACCTTGCTGATTCTGGATCCAAAATCAGGGCTTCAATGGCATGGGAGATGAGTAGGCAGCTCTGCTGCTGTCTAGGTTTGAGTTAAGCTGGACTAGAGGTTACAAAACCACAGATCTTGTGCTATCTGAGTGTGACAGGAGTCACGGGAAGGACTGCACTTTCAGTGAAAGCAAAATTATCCACTCAAATCATCTGGAGCTCTATTTTTTCCTTTTAAGGGACACACACTGTCTAGACTAGCAACTGCAAACTTCTGTTCCAGGCAGGAATTTCAGAGCCCAATGTGGGACCATGCAACATGCCTGGTGATTCATTTTTCTTTTTCTCAGGACCAAGTACTGATCCGGGCCTCACATATGCTACAAGCATTTCTATCACTGAGCTACAATTTTAGCCCCTTTTAATTGTAATTCTGATTTTTATATTTTGAGACAAGTTGTTTTGTTTTGAGACAGGGTCTCCCTGTAGCCCTGTGTGGCCTGGAACTTGCTATGTAAACTCACAGAGATCCACTTGCCTCTGCCTCCTGAGTGCTGGGATTAAAGGTATGGGCCACCACACCAGGCTTGAGACACGTTTTAAGTTTCCCAGGCTGCTCCTGAATGCACAATCCTCCCACTTCAGCCTCTCAGGTGTCTGGACTCCGTGTGCCCCACCACGCCCAACTGCACCTCTGCCTATTATCGTACAAAGAGCAGTTCTTCACAGGACTCACACCAACAAGAAGCAACCACAAAAAAGTTGCATTGATAAAGTGAAGGAAGAAGGAAGGGAAGAGGGAGAGAGGGAAGTCAGGGTTAGTAGAGCTTTTACCTTGATAGTTCAAGGTCTCTGAAAACCCCCCAACACACACACACACACACACACACACACACACACACACACACAACCCCCCCCACACACACACACACACACACACACACACACACACACACACACACACACGCGCGCGTGCACATTGAATTCCAATTTTTTTTTGTCTTTTTGAGACAGGGTCTTCCTGTAGCCCCAGCTGTCCTGCAACTCACTATGTAGACCAGGCTGGCCTTGAACTCACAGAGATCCGCCTGCCTCTGCCTCCCGAGTGCTGGGATTACAGGCGTGCGCCACCACGCCCGGCTTGAATTCCAATTTTAAAGTGCATTTACATACATGCACTTGATGCAGAGGATCCACAGCATTCATTAGGTTTCAATCAATGACTCAAAATGCTAAGAACTACTAACTGACAAGCTGACAACTTCCAAAACCATTTTTTCCTTTCTTCCTTTCAAAAAGAATCTGAAGTTGCTAGTCGGAACATACGGATAGCCTAACAAGGGCTTAGGGAACCAAGAGCACCGAACAGACCGTTAACACAGGTGATGGGACCTCAGGCTGCTAGCCATGAAGCAAGCAAGGTGAGATGACAGATCCAGTGAGCACAAGGCAGTTCACAATGGTGAGACTCTGGCGTGATTTGTAGTCTTGAGGGGTTTGCTAAGATGCGATCAGGCCTCCATCTCCCAGGCTCAAATAATACTGTGTCTGGGTCTCTGCAGCACCTGGGACTACAGGTTCATGCCACTGTGCTGGGCAGGACCTGAGCTGGGATGCTTTCCCTGAAGGTAGACAAGACCACCAGGAACTTGTCCCTGGCTGGCTTAAGTTAAAAAGTAAAATTATTTTGCTCATAATAAATTTCAAAGGGAGAGATTATTAATTAAAAGACTACTTTAATCCCAGCAGTCAAGAGGCAGAAGCAGGAGGATCTCGTGAGATTGAGGCAGCCTGGTCTACATAGTGAGTTCCAGGTCAGCTGGGGCTACAGGGAGACCCTGTCTCAAAAAATAAAACAAAACTTCCCAAGAACACCAAATATAGGGCAAGTTCAGGATACAGTTCTACGTTCCTCAAAGTCGTGGAGTCAGCATCAAAGGACGCCTGATAAAGATCCCGGTACCGGGAAGCAAGGCTTCGGAACTCTTCCATGGCCTGCTTCATCTACAAAGGAGGGCAAACACCAACTGTGACAAACATGCTATGTAATTACACAAACACTACAAGAATAAAAGCCTAAAAAACTGATCACATAAATGAGTAGTATGTTTCGCAAACTAAAATCAACAAAGATGTTATAAATGGCTCACAAGATTACAATAATCCATTCATGGTATCTAGAAACAAGAAATTTCCATTTTAGTTTCTTCAAGTTTCACTAACATTATTATAAACATTCCTAATGTTTTTACAAGGTAAGTCCATTTACTTCCCTAACATGTAGAGGATGAGGCTGTTACTAAAATAACACATCAGCCTATATGACAACACAGGTAGTTAAGCATTTGACATACATGCCTGATTTTAACTTCCACAACTTCTCACCTCAGTTCAACATTCTCTAAGTCACTAACATCTGGAATGGCAACATGAGGACTTGCCTGACTAGAGATTCTGCCGCACCTCTGAAGGTCACTGCCTAAGGCCATGGCAATTGTGGTGGCTATGGCGGGAGGGGGGCTTGTTTTCAGGCTGTTGCAAGTACAGATGAGCTGGGAGAAGGCCTGGAGAAGATCAATCCTGAGTTTCACAAATTCACATTGAAAACTTAAAGGATTCAGTGGTGTGCTGGCAGCCTGTAATGAAGAAAGATGTTTGACAAAAAGTGAATCTACAATTCTGAATCTGCGGAGTCAACCAACCCTAATTCAAAAATATTCAGGAAAACAACACATTGGTATGGAACGTATACACAGACTAAATTTTCTTGACTCCCTAAACCACAGCATAACAGCTATTAACACAGCATTTACACTGTAGGAGGCATTGTCTAAGTAACCTAGAGATGACTTCAAGCCCGAGAGTGAATGTGCACAAATTATATGTAAATTCCACAAGGTTTCATCGGGGGACGTCAGCATCTCAGGATTCTGGCACCAGAGGCTGTGGGCATGTTTTGGAATCTCCCTGGGAGTGAAGAGAGGACTGTACTTGCCACAATTTATGCACAAGTCATAATAACACTGATGGATAAATGCCCAAGTTATAAAGAGAATGAGGTAGTATTACAGAAAAGCTACCATTAGTAGCATTACCTCTGAAAACCTGTACATCCTGGTGACATTCAAAGGTTCCTTACTTCCAACATTCAGCGTGTGGCTGGCGACATCAGTAAGATGCCACTTAGGATGCTCTAAGGACACTACCATTGCCCCAAACCTTATCACTCTCTTATCTTTCTAATCTCAAGTTACCATCACGAGAAAATCATTAATAGTGCCTGGAAAAGTTGGGCAGTAAAGAAAAAGACAAAGCAGGAGAAATATGTTTCCAGACAGCTGCACTGCCACAAGGACATATTAATTTAACAGGAGTTTCTGAGCTGACACTTCAGAAAACGGAGAGGACATCAAACAGGTTACTACACATAAATACATTTCAATAAAGAATGGGGGAGGGATAAGGGGCAAGTCTTCAACAGTAAGAGCAGCATTAGCTACACAAGGCGGGCAGAGAAGGTTAAGTCCAACCCACGTGGGCAGACAACAAAGACACCATCTACTACTACTTAGCAACTGTCCTCGTGGAGAACCAGCAATGTGCTTTCAACAGAAAGTGCACACTGGAAGGCCAATTTGATAAAGTCAAGCACGGTAGAATTAACTTTGCTCTCTGCCATGACCTGCGTGAACTACACTGGTGTGGCTTCTCGGACACTGTTTACACTGCTCTGCTAGTGGGAAAGCTAGGCATGCGATTTTGAGATTCTAGAGTTAGTAACGGCAGTACCCACCTGGCAAAGCACCACAGATGGTCCTTAGTGGATTTTTCATTACTTGTAAATGTCAAATGGCAACTTGTATTATTGAACAGCAGAAATATTTTCTCTACAACAACAGTCTACTGTCTATATTCTTTATGGAAATATAAACTTGCCTAATGTGCTTCTTAACCTGAGACCCTTGCTGAAGTAGCGTATGATATGAAAACAGCTAACTACATTTAATATATTGTACTTTGTGCTTTTCAGCCATTCAAATATTTTGCTCTAATTATGAAATAGCTCATATTAAAATATTTTAAAAAGAATTTTATTGTTATTTCATGTGTATGAGTGTATTGACTGCATGTATGTAAGCGCACCCAGGTCATGCAATGCCTGAGGAGGCCAGAGAGGGTGTGGGATCCCCTGGAACTAGAGTTACAGACAGTTGTTCAACACCATGTGGGTGCTGGGAATTGAACTCTGGTCATTTGCAAGAGCAGCCAGTGCGCTTAACCGCTGAGCCATCTCTCCAGCCCCACCAACATAATTTTCATAAAATTAATTCCGTCTGCCTCTCAATTTTGTGAGTCTATCAGCCAATCAGTTTTTACCATTTACTGTACTAACAATTTTCTGATCTACATAAACTAGAAAATCAAATTTTATTATTTCAAACAGTAATTTTACCTTTAAAATTTCTGTGGCATTTATTAGCCTGATAAAAGCAACAATCTCCTCTTTTTCCAGAAAGATCAAGAGACAATATCATGGCAGTCAATGCTGCCCTCCGAAATGGAGAGCACTGGAGTGTCTCTCAGCGTCGCACTGGGGGAGGGGGGGTGCTATTAATCTTCACGTATGCTTGTTTTAAATACTTGTCCATTAATTTTAGTAAGAATTTAAAATGTATGTGTCACAAGGCAATCTTCACGCCTACTGACCCTGTGACTTTTTCTTTGTTTTGAGCATTGCTGTCTAGATGGCACACCCTTAATACTTAAAAGGTATGTTTTAAATGTCTGAAACAGGCCCCGCCTCAATATGTACAATTTAAAAAGTTCTGTCACAATGCTTTAAAAATGTTTAATGTTCAGGGACTGGAGAGATGGCTCAGCTGTTCTTGCAGAAGACCTGGATTTGAATCCCAGCACCCATGGCAGCTAACAACTGTCCATAACTCCAGTTCCAGGAGATCGGACAGCTTCTTCTGTCATCCTCGGGCACTACACAACATGGGTGCACTTACCTACATGCAGGCATAACACTCATATACAGACACACCAAAAAAAAATAATAATAAAATAGTTAAAAAAAAATGCTTAATGTTGAATACTTAATAAGCTTCTCACGTTTAGAGGACAACGCCCTGTGAGTAATGAAGATAGAAAATGCACATTTTCAGGAAATGTGCTCTTTCTCAAGAAGGTAGCTCATTTCAGGAAACTAGTGAAAATTTCAAGAAATAAGAAATATTAAGGGGGGGCTGGAGACATGGCTCAGTGGTTATAAGTGCTCCTGGAGAGGACACAGGTTCGATTCCTAGGACCCACATGGATTGCTAACACCCGTCTATAACTCCAGTTCCAAGGGATCTGATGCCCTCTTCTGACCTCCACCACCATATGCACATATATATATATATACATTAACGGTCTCTGCTCTGCAACTCTTTCTTGGAAGACAAAATAAAAAGTGTGGGTGGGTTCTCTCCTGGGTAAGTCCATCGTGCCCTCCATGCCTTGACACCCCCAACTTCATTCACCTTCCCATCTCCCCCACCCGTCTCTCCTCCTGGCCTAGGTACTGTCCCATTCCTTGTCTTGGCACCCCAGACACCGGGGAAACCACCACTACTTCCTGATCCTTTGCATCCAGACCAACCCAGTTCCTTCTCGCGGTTCCCAGGAGCCCTCTGTGCCTGGTCCCGCCCTCACCTCCCTCTGCTTCCCAGGGCTGCACAACCTATCAGCCTCTTTCCTAGACACCTGGACTGACTTCTCGGCTTACTGATCCTTTGCATCTAGACCAACCCAGTTCCTCAGTGCAGTCCCCAGGAGCCCTTGGGGCCTCTCTGCCTCCATCTCCCTTTGCATCTCTGGGTGGCATGGCCACCAAGTGCCTGAGACCAGCATCTTTCCTGGGCCCTGCTCCCAGGCCAGTCCAACCCCCAAATTCTTGAAGCCAAAATTTTTCCTGGAGGGATCCAGACCTTATGAGAAAGCCTGAGAGCATCTCACCCTCATCTGACTTGGGTCTCTGTGGGAACTCCTGAAGACAAAAGCAATCTGGCCACTCCAATATAAAATCAAAAGAGAGAACTGGAGGCTTAGACAAACCAGCTTTTCATGCCCAACAAGTAAAC